GTTGATTGTTAAGGTTGGTATTGGAGGGGGCGGAGGGGGGGGGGGGGGGGTAGCCCTAAAAATTCGAACTTAAAACTTACACTCACTATTTTCTTCGAAAATATATGTGAGTTCCACAAAATGTGTATATATAATATATATACGATGTTAGAGAAAAACAAAAAAATATTAAAAAAGAAAATATTGTTTTTTCATTTAAGCGCGCTCGACTTCATTTATAATTATTGCTATATACTCAATAATAATCTTTTTTTTTTGTTTTCTAATTTGAAGTTATTTTTCTGTGCCATCGACTATTTGATGAATACCGTTGTTGCAATCTGTAATGAGGGGGGGGGGGGTGTATGTGTATGTAATGTTCTCTTTCGTTGCTATGGTCTGTAAGGGGAGGGGGGAGCCGCAAAAACTCGAACTTAAAACTTACACTCACTATTTTCTTCGAAAATATATGTGAGTTCCACAAAATAACGAATTACTTTTTTTTTCTGAAAAATCTTAGTTATGTTTTGTTACAATGTAAAACGATACCAGCTCTATTTGCTCATTATTTTCCGATTGCTACATGATGTCACTGACCGCAGTCTCCGTTAAATAGCCTATGAAACTCAGAAAAATCCTAAAATGATTCTTTCGAATATTTTTCTGAAGTACAGCCGAGATTCACTGATTGCTTTACCAGGAACGATTCCTCAATGCTCGATGGTCTTTGACTTGATGTTTTGACCATACATAAGCCTTTGCGAGACGAGAAAATGTCTAGAAAGATTGTAAAGAGACCATAACTCGAAAAATGGCGCCTAGAATGTCATATCGCAAAGACTTATGTATGACCAAAACATCAAGTCAAAGACCATCGAGCATTGAGGAATTGTTCCTGGTAAAGCAATCAGTAAATCTTGGCTGTATTTGAGAAAAATACTCGAAAGGATCATTTTAGGATTTTTGTGTGTTTCATAGGCAATTTAACGGAGATTGCGGTCAGTGACATCATGTAGCAATCGGAGAATAATGAGCAAATAGAACTGGTATGTTTTTACATAGTAACAAAGCATGACTAAGATTTTTGGGTTCTGGGTGTGGGGTGTGGGTGTGTATCCTCTTCTCTCTCGAACCCACATCGACACTCACGGACACCCCACACCCACTCTGCAGCACTCAACACGCACTCACACCCACACCCAGTTAGGATTGAAGAAAATAGTCTATTCTGCCGTAGGCACATCGAATATTTTTAGGACGAGAACGATCGAAAGTTTTTGTTAGCTCTACTCAAGAAGGACGATAATCAATCCAATGTTGGACGTTGCGTTTTCTTTTCTCTTCCAGTTTTGATTAGCATTAATCGATCCTTACATACAGAACGGAAAAAAGCCCTTGATACAAAGAAAAAGAAAAAACTTGTGCTTGAAAAATTGAAAAGTAATACGTGCTTAAAAGAAAATCTACATCACTGACTATGAGTACGGCTGTAGTATTAATAAAAAAACAGCTGCTGCCGGCAGCCCAGACAGCGATTAATAACATCTCTGTCGCCAATCCGAGCGATGAGAAACAAATCTACGACAATGGCATTCGTCGTCTGGTTCGAAAGCTAGATGGAAGATTGCTTCCTTTTGTTGTTCTCCTGCAAATTAGTTCAACCATTAATCTAGTGAGCATCGGTATGTGTTTTTGACTTGAATCATTCGTCATTGATGATATTCTTCTAGGTCACGCTAAACTAATGAATGTTCTGACCGATTTACATATGTCAGACTCACAATGGAACTTGGCCATTTCGCTCTTTTATATTGCCAAGGTAAGAAAATAACCTGATTGAATTTCAATATGTTCCAATATGACTTCGTCTTCCAGGTTCTTTCTCATGTTCCAAGCAATCTTCTTCTGCGCTTTATCGGTCCGACTCATTATCTGTCATTGAGTATGGTTGCTTGGGGCAGCATCACGATTGGTATGGCTTTCGTAACTAATGTCCAACAGCTTCTCATTGTTCGCTTTCTCCTCGTAAGTTAATTTGAAGATTTCAACTAGAGAATAAACCAAAACTTTTGGAAATTGTCATTGAAGGGCGTGATACAAGCGGGTTATTTCCCTGGTGTCATCATTTATATCTCCTTTTGGTACTGTAAAAAACACCAAACCATGAGAATAGCTATTCTGTTTAGTTCAGCAATTGTAGCTCGTATTCTCACTGGTTTTCTGGTATGTACTTGTTCATGCCACCAGAGACCACCTATTTTGAGCCGAGAGAATCAATTATTGTCATTAATCTAGGCTTATAGTATGGAAAAAATGGAAGGTATTGGTGGTCTGAAAAGTTGGCAATGGTTGTTTTTGCTCGAAAGTTCATCAATCATTCCGCTGGTGATTATTACTTATCTATTCCTTGACAATATACCCAATGCTGTTCAATGTGAGAATTTCAGGGAAATCAAACACATGCAAAGTTGTTTTCGAAAAATTTAGGGTTGAATAATATTGAGAAGCAGCTATTGACAAATCTTCTTCTAAACGACGTCGGTGTTGGCGATCGTGATCCAGCATCAAGTACCCGAATTTCATGGCCACAAATTCATTCTGTTTTTGTCGATTGGCGAATCTATCTCTATGGCCTGATTGCTATTGGCGATTTAGCTGCTAACCTATCTCTGACAACATTTTTTCCGACACTGATGAAAAATATGGGTTATTTCAAAACTGAAGCACACTTAATGACAGTACCACCTTATGTTGTCGCATTTATTTGCTGTTTGCTAGTTAGCTATTCGTCGTCACGTCATAATGAACATGGCTATCATCTTGCATTCAGTCTATTGATCGGTTTATTAGGATTCATTCTAATGCTCATACTGTCAGATCAAGGCAAAATGGCTATCTATATGAGCATTTCTGTTGCTTTTTGTGGTGTATTTTCTGCATATCCTTTACTACTCTCTTGGTTAACAAATAACGTCGGCGGTCATACAAAAAGGGCAATGGCAATTAGTCTCGTTCTTGGCATTGCTCAATTCGGTGGCATTGCCACACCTCTGGTAAGATTGTTGCGTATAATAACTTACAGAATAACTTTTCTAGTCGATCCCTAACATGTGAATGACTTTGAAAGAGTATTAATGGTAATATTTTGTTCGTAGATATATACAGATGATGATAAGCCGGCCTATCGACGCGGCCATATGATCTGCGGTGGAATGATAGCTGGCAGTTTGATTCTCACCATTATTCTACGCATTTGTTTACTGAGAGAAAATAACCGACGCGCAAACTTATCATCGGAGGAATATCAACGAGAGGCAGCTATTAAGGAACTCTGCGATCGAGTAAGTTCACGTTTGATTTTCTTATCATAATATTGTCCTTCCATTGTCTTTAGCATCCCGAAATACGCTACGTGTTGTAACATGGAAACATTTTATATCTATCGCAATTGATCTCAAAATAAAATACTCTTTCAAATAACTCATTACAATTCCTCTTGTAATTTTTTGAGTGACAAATATGTGTCAAACATGAAACAAATAAAAGCTATTTTCTTCAAGGAAGTGATACCTGATGTTTGTTTAAAGATATGCACTCGCAGTTAGAAAACACAGAACAGTTTAATAATTGTGCTGTTCTATCCTTTACTTTTAATCATGACGGAAAAAAAATGTTGATACCAAATGTGAAAGTAATCAAGAAAAAAAGCGCCATTAGCATTCGATCGTCAATCCTGTTCTAAAGACGTGACATATAGTATTTCTACAAGTCGAGAAGGATAAAATGTTTTAGTATTCAATATTTTTCTCATATTCATGATCATGGCGGAAAATAGAGCAGATTTTTTCAGTCTAATAACGACAACATGCAAATATATTAGTCGAGTGATGAAGAGAAAATAGGTAAATTTCTATTTTTATTGTTGTCAGTACATTTCTTTATACAATCGAATTTGCTATTCTTCAGGGTGGGTATGGGGTGTGGGATGTGTGGTGTGGATGTGGGTGTGGATGTCGGTATTAATCTTCTCTTCATTCATGTCCATACTCACACGCTAACACCCACACCCACACCCACTCACACCCCACATCCACACCCACCCCCCCCCCCCCCCCCCCCCCCCCCCCCCCCCCACCCCCCCCCCCCCCCCCCCCCCCCCCCCCCCCCCCCNGGTATCATCTTTTCCGTTCTTGGCCGTTCCTTTCTCAAGAAACGTGACCTAGTAGTTTTCTAAATGCGTCGAAATGTTTATACATTTACGCTTATTTTTTTCTTTAAGATCATTATTCGTTGTTCTGTCATTTTATGCGGAAACATCTCTTATTAAAGCAGTACAAGATATAATTTGTTTAAAAATTCTACGAAGAACTGTGACATAGATTGAACAAATAATCCTAGCTCATTTTCTTCAGTAATTACTCTATGGCCATTGATTCACCAGAGCACTGGTTTCACAAAATCGCTGAAATGCACTCCTAATACAATGTTTGCTTAACGTGTTTTTTTTTTTGCTAAATTTAATTTGTAGTTACCGTTTTACAATCCAGACTTATTCAAATTTGATTATGAGTAAAAACCTATATTAATTCTGACTTCTTTAGTAATGGAGACATTTTATATGAGATATTTAAATCTTTTGAATTTGTTGAGAAGTTATTCACATGTGTTTTTTTTTCCCGACTTTTGGAACATTTTAAATGTTAATTAAAATATTTTATAGGCATATTTACTAAAGTTTTTAACAAAATTTGTTGGTGAATGTAATGAAAAAGATTTGCCTATTATTAAAGATCAATGGCGAAATCTAATGATTGATCGATTAGAAGAAGAACTTAAACGACCATATCAAATTGATGTATTATCAAAAAAAAAATTAAATTCATTAGTTTTTTTAAAAATTTTAGTTATTATTTTAGAGTCCTTTCGAAATTAATATAACATTTGAATTTAATAAAGAAAGTGAAGAACTTAATTTTTTGTAAGTTTATATTTAAACAATTCGAATTAAAGAAATAATAAATATTTTCTTTGTTGTTTGTGTTTTTAGACGAAAATTTCGTTATGCTGATAATCCTAAATTACAAGTAAGATATTTTTTAATTAAATTATATGACCATTGCTTATTTTTCTTATCAGTACCAATAAGAATAGCATCACATGTACAATAGAGATTTTTTTGATATTGAAGTTGATTTAATCTTGTTAAAATAGTCCATTGATTTGTATGAATATTGTATCTGAAGAATAGACACAAAAGAAAAATTTTCTAACTGTACACAATTAAATAATAAATTAGAAAAATAATTAAGAAAATATTATATGAATAATTTTAGAATATAATGATACAAATAGAATTAAACCTTTGGTTATAAATAGACTGGAAGATCTAAGTTTGAGAAAATCAACATTTTTCACTTTAAGAACGTAAAAATTGAATAGCTTCAGTGTTTCATACAGCGCGAGGATCAAAGAGGAGCTCCGCTTTAGACTTTTTATACCACATATCATGTACCCATCTGCTTCAAAAAATAGATATTCGCTGCCACGTAGTTTTGAAGTCTTTCTTGTCAAAGATTGACACCTGTTTATTTCGAATCATCTGTGCGGTAGACTTTGCTATGAGTATGTACGGAGATAACTCTGAGTTAAAAAGGAAAGAATCCCAACTGATTAATTATTTTTGAGTTATGACTAAGTACATTATGTAGGTGATTAATATGCTATGAATATCTTGAAAAAGGGGTTCGAGTACTTGTCTTAATGTTGCTGAGAAAATATATTTTCACGATATTTTTTAATATAATGCTGTGACCTCTCAGGTACAATAAAATAGATGATTTTCGAATTTCAATTCGGAACTTTTACAAAGAGACAGGTCATAACGAGAATAGTTTATTGCAAAAGTTAACGCTTTTACGATAGCCGTAATTTAAGATAATTTTTTTATTTTTCCTAGTACATCTGACGAGGGAACATTCCCAAGTGTCACATCGCTTTTGAGTCGAGAGTATGAGTATCATATAGGCCCTAATGATCTATGAATAACCTGAAAAAAGTTCCTGCTGCTAGCTTATTGCTGTCGAGATATTGCATTTTTACGATTTGTTTTTAAATGAATGCCGTGGTCCCCCTCAGGAACACTAGAAAAAAATGATTTTCGAATTTCGACTTGAAACTTTACATAGAAACAGGCCTTATTATGAATAGTCATTTCTGAAAGTTTCAGATGTTTTGATTAGTTCCTATCCTGAAATAAGAACATCAAATCTACTGATTTATCCAAATGAATTTATCATAGCTGTATCTACGAATAGGAACAACAAACAGATCTGAAACTTTCACAAAGAACTATTCCCATCGAGGCCTGTTTCTATGCAAAGTTTCAGGTCAAAATTATAAACTCAGTTTTTCTGGTGTTCCTGAGGAGGACCACAGTGTTGTTCTTAAAAATACTGTAAAAATGCAATATCTCGACAACAATAAGCTCGCAGCACGAACTCTTTTCAGGTTGTTCATAGATCATTAGGGCCTCTATGATACTCATACTCTCAACTCAAAAGCAATGTGACATTTGGGAATGTTCCCTCGTGAGTGGGACCACAAGATTATATATAAAACATAGCACAAATGCGTTATCTCGGTTGCATCAAACAGAATATGTAAGCTCTTTTCAGAATATTCGTCGCTCATTAGAACTTGTATGATGCTCACAGTCTGAATTCGAAGTGATTAATCCATTGAAGAACTACTCTTGTTCACTGTCTTTTTCTTCCGAACTTCATCTATTATGAATTTCGTCTCTAAATCAATGTCCTACATAAAAAGTAATTGAATATACGTCGTGTTCTAATAATAGGATAACTTACTGTTCAATTGAAATGACATTAATACTTGTCATTATTTTATATTTATCATAAATATATTGTAATCCACCAATAGCATAAATCATATCTGAATAATAAGTTACAATCGGTTGTCCTCTTGCTTCCTTACATGATTCTATTGATAACCATTTTCTTTTATTTAAATTCAAATGAAAACATTTTCTCATTGCCACGGGTCCTTCACTAGTCATGATTAAACCTCCGACAACAATTATTGTACAATGATCAATAAAACAAACACCAGGTAGAAAAACACCTTGTTGATATCTAAGTGGTAAATTAGGTAATGAATACCATTGTTCTTGTTTACAATTAAATAGAATACTTGATGAGATTGATTTTCCTTCATTAATTAAACCACCAATAAGAATAATATAATCAATAGTTGCTGCTAAACCAAATTGACTTCGACCAGGATAAGGACCATCAATATGTTGAATCGTATGAGACGTAATATTAAATTTAAACATTCTTGTTTTATATTCTCCTATAGCATAAAGAAATTTTCCAACATGAATAAATGCATATTTTTGTTCTGATGAATCAAATTGATTAAATAAATATAAAGCTTGATTAAAATCTTGATTAATTTCTTTACGATTTCTTTTTAATGTACAACATATAGCTATTGTTGTAATTTTTTTATGATTAATATTCCATAAATATTGAGAATTTTGATTTGAATTTATTGTTTCTTCGGATTCTGTTATCCATAAGGTTTGTTCTTTTGAAGATTTTGTTTTAATTGAATTATATGAAATAAGACAATAAGATGATTTATTTAATTCTAATGAATCAGTACTATCAATATGAATTATTGATTCATCTAAACGATTGAGAATATTTCTCTGATAATTTATAAGTTCATGTAATTTTTTATCCATATTAGAAAATTTATTTGATATTAAACATGAATTATTCTTTGATAAATTGGAATGATTTATATATTTTGAAATTAGATATTCTATTATAATTTGTCGATTTAATTTATCTGTATATGATGCCCAATTAAGAAGAGAATTATATAAAATTGATGATGATATATTATTTGGAAATAATAATTCAAATATTTGTATAAGAATATTAGGTGTTAAAGAAAGAAAACGTTTGCTAGATATTATTTGAGGATAGAAATACTTTATTCCTTGTATAATTCGTTCATATAATACATGATGAATAGTTGGAATCAATAAACAACATTTAAGATATAACCAAAGAAGTGATAACTAGGATAAACTATATTAAAAACAAAAACAAAATAGAGAACGTCATAGGAAGTATTGTTCTTTGTTCTGTTCTACATTATATAAGACATTATTACTGACGAACGAGCCTTTAATGAAGTATTAAAAACCCTAAAAAGATAAGAGCATCTAAGTCTTTCCTACAGAGTTATATCCATTTTATTGAAATGGTTTAGTATCTACTATTAATCATAATGATAAATCACGACAAGTTTCACCAATTCATTGAATCATAATCAATTAGATTACTTGGGTATCCTGCAGAACTAAAATATTATTCTGCGTCCTAAAAATACATTGTCCTATTCCTACATGTGTGGAACATGCTTTCTGTGATGTTCTCTACAATAAAATTCTTATTCAGATGATTAAAAGTAAAATTGACATACTTTTTCAGATTTATTGTACATTTTTTGTATAGATTCATTTATAAATTGAATACATCGTTGAATGATATGTTCAACATCGAGTTCACTTGACACAAGAAATAGATCTGATACAGTATGAACATTTAAAATAAGTCTTGACGTATATATATAAATAAGTAAAAGTTCTAGACCATAATATGATGTAATTTTTAATTGACAAGTATATTTAATTGTTGAAGATTTAATATGAATAAAATAATTTTCAAGTGAACGACAAATAGCTAATAAAATACAACTATGTGCATAATAACGTCGATTTGAAACAAGAAAAACAAGATCACAATCAGTTGATGAAGACCATAATTGTAAAATTGTTGAACTAAGTGTATCAGCCATACGATAATCAAATTCAATATTATTGTTTTCTAAATTATATCGAGAAAAATTCATTAGTTGATTAAGAGATATAGATGAGGAATGTGACGATAGTGTTTCTTCACTTGTTGAACTTGACATTTGCAATGAAGAATATTTGCGCTTTTTTATTTTCAAAATTTAAATAAATCTTATATATAAAATGTTTGCTGAAATATTTGAATGAATAATAATATAGAAATAGAAGAGTTCAGACTAGAGGTGTAAATCGATACATTGATCGACGGGGGTTGACATTTTTCGATAAATTTTAAAATGAAAAATAAAGAAAATGATAGTAGAGAACTTATTAAAAGTTCGAATCTGAGTATTTCTGAACATTATTGACTTTCTTCAGCATATCTGCAGACCTTCGGCTTTGGATCATGTATTATACTATTTGTAGATCTACTATATCGTGCTTTAATAAATAACTAAAAATGATCGAACTCGAATGTTTGGGTTCGATATCTGCTTATATCAAATTAAATATCATTATAATTTTAGAAATCTAATGCTAATGAAGGATTCACTCGACAATCAGTTACTTCTGTTCTTAATGATCTTACATTTGATGATTTTGAAAAGTGAGTAAAAACATTTAAATAAGAGACTTGAAATGAATTCTTCTATAAATTTTAGCTATTACAAACCAGCTATTGATGGAAAAATATCATGCACCATATTGGCTCAACATGATTCAATTTATGTAGCTGGTTGTAAATATTTTTCTTTATTATTTAGTATTATGAACTTTTTATTTAATATTCAGGACGTTATAATAAATATTCTCGTACATTATCTCAAACTCCATGGATTATTGATGGAGTTCGTAAAGCTGATACATCTGTTGAAGAATTAATTGCTCTTCCCATAAGTAAACTTATTGTTGCTAAAAGTAAGAATTTCATTTTTAGTAATAAAAATAACATATGACATTGTCTTTATTGAATAGATCATGTTTTTATTTCTTCGGGTCGTGAAGATGTTGATGTACGAACATTGGGTCTTGGTTAGTATTAATTGATTTTTTTTTCTGTTTCGAAGTTACTCTTTGATTTTATTTATAGGTCGACCATTCGTTATTGAATTTCGACAACCATCAAGAATTTTATATCAACCTGAAGAATTTCTTACTGTTCAACAGGTTCGTAAAAATTCTCTTTTTTTCTTTTACATATTTTTAGAATATTTATCATATTTAGGAAATTAATATGTTAACAAAAGATATTCGTATACGAGATTTACAACAAGTAACAAAGTATTTGATCATAAAATGATAATTTTGTAAAACAAAAATTTTATATCTATTTAATTTAATCTAGAGAAGAAAGTAATCAAATAAAAGAAGGTGAAGAAGAAAAAACAAAATGTTATGAAGCATTATGTTATACTGATACACAAATTGATCAAACTGAACTTGATGAAGGCCTTTCATCCGTATCTAATCCATTAATTATTGAACAAAAAACTCCAATTAGAGTTTTACACCGGTAAATAAAAATCTTTTTTTTTTCTCTTTATATTTTGAAATTTCTTAGACGAACATTAATGACACGTCAACGATCAATATTTGCCATTTCAGCAACAGTTATTGATCCGTATCATTTTCGTTTACGTTTAACAACTCAAGCTGGTACTTATGTAAAAGAATTTGTTCATGGTGATTTAGGTCGAACAAAACCAAATTTAACAATAATACTTAATCGTTTTGTTGATATTCTTGAATTAGATGTTCTTGTATGTAATTCAATTCACTTTTAGAGAAATATTTATCTAAATATTTTATTTTATATAGGCAGTTAATATTGATTTTCCACCAATGTTGAACAATGAAAATGATGAAAACGAAAAAGATGGTTTCTGTGATATAAATGGAAAATAAAATATTTTGAAAAATCAAAGGATCAATTTCTTAATAGATCAATAAATATATTTTATTTTTTTTTGTATTATTGATGAATAAAACTATCATAAAGAAACAGCAGGATAATTGCAATTGACATGATTAATTTTCAGAAGTCTTTGCGCTTTGGTCAACCAGAAATATTATGCTTATGTTGTGTAAAAGTTAAAACTTCCATATGGGACTTTATGGAAGTTATTTTAGATAAGCTAAACAGATAATAACAACAGTAAAACTTCTCTCCGTGAATAACTGGTTATACCGAACATTCTTCAGTCTCCTCAAGCGAATTTCGTACCTCTCCTTTATGAATATCCCTTAATTCTGGATGTAAGTACTTTTTTTTGTGGTCTCGCTTGTATGCATTGATTTTGTTAATGGGAACTTCAGCAGATGATGCTACTTGAATAAATTATATGATTGAAGTTGTGTAGAATCCGATATCGTTGTCTTTTGAAGCATTTTCTTAACCGTTGTCTATCAGATATGGTATCTCACGATGCTCTTGATTTAAAACACAAAAATGAATTTTTATCAAAGATAAAGAGCTTGATTTATCTTCCCAGGTCAATGATTCCGGACAACAGATCCTGCAGGAACCGGCAGGAAAATGCGGGAAAATTCACCGTATCCTGCAGGAAAACACCGGAAGTCGCCGAAACAGGGTAGCAGTATTCCGGCCGGAACATCTCCGTATTTTTTTCCGGTGACTTCCGGTCAACTTCCTCTCGTTTCCTGCAGGAAGTTGGCGGAAAGTGACCGGAAAAATTCCGAAAATTTTCCGGCCGGAATACTGCCACCCTGTTCCAGCGACTTCCGGTGTTTTCCTGCCGGAACCGGCCCGTACTTTTCGACCTGGGTTATCATGAATTATGAGATAAATTTCAAGTGTCCATCAGTGCTGTGTCAAATAGTCTGAAAAGATANTGCCCGTTCGTTCATGTAACACGTGAAGGCATCTTCGTACAATAGTAACAGATTAGGTAAAGTGCCGCTTTGTATTAATCAAAAGGTCTTTTTATCGTTGACTTTCTTCTAGAAAATCAGAAACGCTTTCACCACAAAACAGTCTTGCATAATTGAAGAAAACATAACTTCATGCAAAGTCTACACAAAAAATTCTGTGACACTCAAGAATGGTTCTGCAAAATTTTATATTCTATTTGAAACAAACTTTATATATATTTTAAGTATAGCTACTGGTTACAGTTTCATATAATATTAAAAGTAGAAGTTTTGCGTCTGTAGAGTAAAGTACGAAAGTTTAACCAGTAACTATACTTAAAAAATATATATAAAGTTTATGTCCCAGAATTCTTTGCGCAGACTGTATAAACGTCGAGATTTGATATGTGAGTACTTTTTTTGAGTTTCAGAATGCATTTCTTTTTTCAATAAGATACAATGGCATTTTTTGAAACAGGCGCAAAGGAAAACACAGTGTGTGTATTCAATTGCTGATTTTCTATAGATGGTTTCTTCACAAGACAATCGTATTCATTGAAGTTAGTTTAAGATTAATAACTTTGCTACTAGCAGAATTCACTATGAATAGATTCCATCTATATGAATCACATCTCCACATAAGCAACTGAATAAAATGAGTTTGATAAAAAAAAATTAATTTTCTTTTTTTACATTTATTTAGTTATTGAGAAGGTAAAATGTTGCCAGCGATAGGTGTTAGCCTAGAGAAAAAAAGAACGATATGGGATATCGTACCAAGATGCTAGGCTACATTGACTGTATTGCGCTAAGAACACTTCTTACCAACGATGGTCTTCCTTTTTTCACAGAATGATATCTGTTTCTTTCTTATTCTACACATGTGAATTAAGTGAAGCAAACTCATTTACCAACGATATATTGGACAAAAATCAAGTGAAACTAAGGTTTGTTGGTGGTATTGCCAAAAAAGATGACTTTTTAAAGGGACATAATAGAAGACTCCCTTTTAACTTATGAACGTTAAGACAGAATAGAAGACCCCGGGTCTTCTAATGTGCCGATGGCTTTACTTTAAAAAGTGAATTAGACAGATGAATCATCCTAGCAGAGATGTCCATCGTGGCTGAAAATCTGCCGCTGCTGCGCCGCCATGCGTTTTAGAATTTGGTGTTGCACCGCTGCCGCGCATAATAAAAAACCTACCGCTGCCGCAACGTTATGAATAGGATAGTCTTTAGAACGTTCTGTCTTCCAGACACTGAATGTAGATACTTTCTTATTTTCACTGTTAGAATTAAAACTGGTTAAATCAGTTATGAATCGATTCAACCGATTGAGTTGAAACGGTTGAAATGGTTATAAGCTATTTTATTAACTCTAACAGTGCTTATTTTCGCCTTGGGATTATTTCATGCTTTGGCAGACATAGAATCATAGGACTTGTTTTTTGCGAAACGCCAACATCTAAAACACAGTACACTTCATCATTAGATGAAAATGTTCTTTTGACAAAAAACAAAAATGTTTAACATTTCAACGATTGCTTTATAAGAGCGGGCGATTGCTTAAAGTGCTTTCTAGTTTTCTCTATGAGGTATCTTAATCAAAAAGTTAGGTGTGCCGATTTGTAGTCGCCGATGTTACGTGTAGAAAGTCTTATGGTTCTACATCTGTGGAAAAATGGAAGAATGCTACGGCGAAATGAAGAAAGTTCTTGGGAGTACTTGCGTTCATTGTCTGCTGTCCTCTAATATAAAAACATGCGTATGTATTATACAAGTGATAGATGACGAAACCGCTTCCAATTACGAATTTATTAAAGCTTTCGTCGAATAATAAGCACACATTGAATAATCAAAACCGTTTGAAATCACAAGATTTTTAATTATATAGAAAAAATGATACAGATCAAATAAGACATTCATTCTCCACTCACATAAAGGATACTTCGCAGTAGAAAGAGCAAGAAATTATTGAAACTTATACTCAGTACGAGATTATATAGTGCCAAGGATCGAAATGAAATAGAATGCGATATCATGATCTAGAATACTACAATTTATTACTTCGATATGTATGAGTTCCAAGAAAATATTTTGCTTGTTATTAATACAAAAACGAGATTCATATCTGTTACAAAAAAAGACTCCGAAGAATCAATTCAACTATTTAGTATATTTCATATTTTTAAGAATTAATTTCATATAAAAATCTTCTACAAGAAAGTAATCATTTGCACGTTGAATGA